AATTATACCCTGCGCAAGGAGGTCTGAAATTATGCTGTTAAGCTCCGTTTGGTAATGGATGGGTATTCGGCGAGCGGGTTGCCGTTGTGGTGCGGCGGTACCAGTGTTTATGGCATGCTGAACCAGTCCACTGCGCCCGATCTGTTGTCCAGCCCAGGTGAACACGCTCTGGAATGGGAGAAGTGTATCCTTTAGGCGACGGAGGTAGGTGACGGGGATTTCTTGGCGGGTCAACAGATCGTCAATGTACGTCGGTTCTTTTGGTGGGGTAGTGTCTAGCGTACTGACATCCACGGAGATGATGGAGATGGCTGATCTGGAAAGCAGAACTGCAGCCGGGTTGTTGGGGTCGATGGTAAGCTGGTGGGCACGGAGAAAGTCTAACCCGACAATGGCGTCAACTCTAATGTCCGGGGAGACTAGCATGGGATGTACGGCAGTGCAGATGGGGAGGACAATGGATACTTGCCGTGTGCCAGTGCAACGCAGGGGTGAACCATCAGCTGTGACTAACTGAATGTCTGAAGGAGGGGAGTGTGTAATGGGAATATGGGGAGACCGCAACACAGATCGGATGGCACCAGTGTCAATAAGTATGGTGGCGGGGGTTCCATCAAGTGTGCCAGTGACTGTCAGTGGGAGATTTGTGGGTAGCGAGGAGGAAATAGAGGGCAAGATAGTGGGAGGGGTCTTACCGGCAGGGTTGTTGTGACCGCACTTGCGAGCGCGATCCTTGAACTGCTGGCAGTACCAGCAGTCGTTCGTGTTGTTGGTCGCAAGAGAGAAAAACGGTCTTCGATCGGATAGTCTGAGTTGCCCCTGGGGACTGCTAGGAGCACGGCGGGGTTCCTGTTGTGGTGGGGCGGACTCGAATATCCTTGTCGTTTGTAGGGCTGTGAGAAGGTTTGCAGGGGGTCGGATGCGAAACTCCCGTTTGATGTCTTCTGAACGGAGACCACCCACGAATCGTAAGAAGACCTGGTCAGAGACTTGGGAGTCCGGGAAGACCCTGGTACCGAGACTGAAGAGGGCGTCTAGGTAGGAGTCGGCATTTTCACCGGGCAGTTGTGTGCGGAGGCAAAATTGGTTGTGGAGGGCGATGAGGGGTTCCTGGGCACCGAAAAGGCTTTCCAGCGATGCCCATAGGTTGCTGATGGTTGTAGGGGGTGAGACGCACAGATAATTGAGGCGTCTTTTGGCGGTTGGACCTAATAGACCCGTAATATGGTCCATTTGTTGGTCGGCCGGTAAATGCACCAGGTAGCGTTCGGCCTGAACTCGCCAGTCCGAGGAGCTGTCGCCGACCTCGTATATTGGGGGTCTAAGGGAATCCAGGGCCACTGGAGATGTGCGTGTGAGAAGGTTGCCTAAGGCGGCGGTTAGCTGGTCGATGCTAGAGGAGTGGGCATCGGAGGTGGATCGAGTATTCGGCATGGTGGGGATGCGGTCTAGTCGGTACGGACGTATAGAAAAATGCGGATGAAATGTAGTACCGAACGGGAATAATGAAGTCCGAAAAAAAATGGGAGAAAAATCAAGAAACGCTGCCACCAAATATGTGACGACCTACGGAGGACTGAGTATTAGTACCTCAGTGATCGGCATGCAGACGCCACACATCAAACATTAGAAGGATATAGTCTGAATGGGATACTATTATAATAACGGGTTAGATAATAAAGGAGTACGGAAGCAGGGGGAGAAAACGGATAAGAGTAGTTTAAATCCTAACAATGAGATTACGAAAGGGGGAACGCAGCCGGCTGCATAAACAAGGGGAGACATTAGACAAATTGGTCATTAGCAGGACCCTGGTGGTTGTTCTGGTTGTTCGTGGGCGTTGAACGTGGCCCTGAGAAAGGAAATAAAAGTATTGAGGGGCAAAAAGGTACCGTTGACGGGGTAGGTTCGTGACATTAGGGCAACTTAAATGTTACACCACGCATGCCGTTTAGTAAAACAAAATTATTACTTAATTTACTATTATGAAGAATTGCTTACTTATTAATGTTTTTTTAGGAGCCTGCCGTGGATGAAAACTTCCGGCAACACAACAATGCCGTGTAATTAATTAACCAGAACAAATTCCTATCCCATATGTCCCTTGTACATATTACTCCGTTTTTTTTTAATTTTATATGTTTAATAAACTATCATATGCCAATATTTGCTGTCCACTGTCTTTGTTTATGCAGACCTCGGGACATGTTCGAGTTTCGGCGCTATCACTATATTTTGAGGGTGGGCAATACCTAACAAAGGTAAGGGTTATGGGTGTTCATCGATCAGAAGTCGAATAGTTAAACCTGCCGTGCGGAGAACTAGGAAAGGAATAATACTGGTAACGTAAATGGGGGGTTAATATCACGGAGAGCGTGACGTCCCCCTGCGCGTTTTTTTTGAGGACGGGGCCAGACGGGGCTGGGCCCCGCCTAGCCCCCGGGGCCAGACGGGGCTATCGCGTCCCTAGCCCCGTCATAGCCCCGCCCAAATGGGGCCCAGCCCCGTCTGGCCCCGGGGGCTAGGCGGGGCCAGACGGGGCTGGTGCTAGCAGGGGATAGAGAATATTCATTCCTCTTGATGTAAAGGTGGTGTAAGTACACCAACAAATACAATACTGAAACATGTCATACACCTCTGCTGTGAAGGTAGGCAAACTTTATTGCAAACTTATGCAATGGATATTTTTTATTTATTTGGTGCTATGAAAACTCTGGTCACCTAGATGCTATCAGGCTCCGCAACGTCATTTAAATGATGGTGGCGGTAGTCGTGGCGTATAATGACGTGAGGGAGAAGTTTGTCGTGTTGGCATTTCGCTGTGTCTGCAGATGGGCGACGAGACTGATCTGTATCCGATAATTTTGTTGGCAGTGTGAACACTGTGGCAAGGGTTGGACACAGGAATCATTTACCTCTAGATGTGTATTTTTCGAGATCTTTCTTTTTGCCTTGAAAGGGGGCATTCGGTTGAATTCAAAAATAGCTGTCACGGACTCTTTGATAATATATCAGGTCTGTCGATCTTGGCCGAGGTCTGCCATGTCTCTGGGCTGATAGGAAGATGTTTGAGTGTGAACCTTAAGGCGTACTTGTGGGGACGCTCTTATCCGCCTAATCTGTTGCGACACGCATCTACGTCATCGTTCTGTGTCCGCACACGTAAGCGCTCGTCGTATATCCTCACAAACTGGCCTTTCAATTGAAACTGTTTTTGCCTTAGTGTGGCGTATATACCGAGGACTTTGATTGTGTCCGGATCTTGGTTTTTGGGATCCTGTCCTGCCATCTCACATTCTTTATAATTCAGAACATTTAAATTAGTAAGACGTGCACAAACGGAACAACTAAGAGGACGAACAAAAGAATGCAGTAGAAGTTCCACTATAGAAGGCATTTTTCTATATCCCATTGAGAAGCGAAGAAGAGTAACTTCTTCTAGTTCGATTAACATGTGTATCTATTAAAAGTGGAACGTTTTGCGGAGTTCTGTTCTAGGCAGACTGGGAATCGCCGTCGCTCTGACAACTAGATGTCTTTGCTGTTAAGTTCGTTGATGACAAAAATATAGGGCGAAGTGGATTGTGCCAATAACATCGCGAAACCGAATAGACAAACGAACAGGTGATTTTTAAAGCCAAGTATTCCGAAATGTGCAGCCTCAGAGATCAAAATAAACCAAAAATTCTCTCAAAATCAGCATTCCATTAATGGGGCTGTAATGAAAGACGTAAAAGTTCATGGATGTTTGGCATGCGGACGACAACGAACCTGCCATCTTTCGAACGCTGTAAAAAGTTCATTCAGAGAACAACTCATGTTTTGAGTAGGGTAAGAAATACTACTTGA